TGCTGGCCTTGTGTAGTGGGACCCGAGATGACAGCATGCTTCCCACGTCTGCTACCACCTCTTCTTCATTCATGCCGGCGTACCGGCCGATGTCCGCGGATTTTTCTGTTGTGCTATCCGATTTGACTCCGCTTGCATCGACTTGGAACGCGATGTGTGCACACAAATCGGGTGTCAGCCGCCCCACCAGCCTTCCCTCCATTTTTCGAAATCACATGGCACTTTTTTTTCGGGGAATCGTTCACCCTCAAAGCATTTGAATTGGAAACCTTTCAACAGCGCAAACCCACAGCGGTCTTTGCTCGCACTTCGGCACCAGTTGCGGAGGAACGCCGTGCTGCTCTGCGTGTCTTTTGGTCGGAACACCTCGTGTCTCCATGCAACACGGGCCCTTTTGTGCTAGCTTCTACTGCTGTTTGTGCGTGGCATGGTGTGCTTTTGGACGCTTTTTCTGCTTGGTTGGATCCGCTTCAACCTCGTGTGCACCAAGCTTTTATCACTGGGCGTATGCTATCTTGTGGATATCTCCGCCTTTCGCATAGACCTCGGCTTCCTCTTCCCGAAGTTGCACCCGGCTTTACTGCTTCTGCTGGTCTTGGTGTTGCTGCCTCAACTGCGGTTGGTTATTCTACTTCTACTGTTTCTGGCCCTGCTGCCCTTTCCAAAATCGATCGTAGCTACCCTCTCTCTGGCCCTGTTCTTGTTAACAAAGAGGACACCATGTCCAGCGGCAACGTGGAGCTCCTGGGCGACAATGTGGAAATCCTCGACTACGAACCCGAGGGCGAGGCTCCCACCGCAGAGCAGTTTCCAGCGGCGAGTGCAGAAGACGAGAGCCCCCCCGTGTCCATGGTGTTCACCGTCGATGATTTGCTGGACAACATCGCCACAGCAGATCCGGCGGAATTGGAGCGGGCCTACAACACCGGACGTGTCTCTCTGGAGGATATCTTAGAAGCGGCCCATCTGTCGTCCGATTCCCCCCTTTTCGTTCCTCCTTT